ACCTCTCCCTCAAGCCAATCCAATTATTACGGAGCCCTCGATCTGAGTGGATCGACCTTGTGTCACTAACAGTGCCTTCATTATATCTTTTCACAAGCAGTTTGAGTAATCACTAAGGCATGCACACAAAATGAAAAAGCCAAAAGGAAACACGAGCACATCAGCATGTTTGTTTTAACACACTGCTGCGTGCTGGTCAAATGAATTGTCAGTTCAATCGATTATAGTCATTTTGCTCTCTGAAGCCGACAGTCAGGGTTTAATTTAACCCGTCAATTGTGGATGTATCACTATAACACCTTCAGAGAAGAAGGTAATATTTGATTCTGCAGCAATATGAGCAAAATGACTGCCTGATTCCTGTCTAACACACCACAGATACCACTGCAGTAGAACAACCTTTGCCTTTTCCATGGTCGTGAGCCTGCCTCATGCCACGTGGGAGCTGTAGATCCTGATAAAACTCAAGCTTTCCTAATTCACACACGCATCGTTCGGAGTAACCTTAACCACAACACAACTAACAGATCGATCGAGCTATCACAGACCAGATGAGAGAGTCTGACAATTGTTAGATTGAAGCTAATTAATGTTGATTGCCTAAACTAGCACAGAGGACTCAAGAGCCCTTAATTATCTATAACCACATTGCAGTACCGAACATGTTATTTCCCTAACAATGCAGGTTGCACATGCATTTATCTACATATTCATACTGTAGGAGGAGAACAGAGTTGGTTGTCACGTTCACTGGATCTTGCTCCCTTGAGGGCACTGTTAATTAAAAAACATGTTACTGAAATCTTCAGAGTCAGAGTCAGAGGTCACCTACAGTGTTATTTCAGGAGCTAGACAAATAACATTAAGGTGAAAGTACGTTTAGCGTTTCTCCAGTCAAAATGTAAATATCCAGCTCTTCTATTTTCTCTTCTCTGCCTTTATACAATGGGTTTATCATAAAACAATCATAACCGTTAAATAGTATGAAGGGAGAGCTACGGGTTATAGAGGTTATTTCTTAGCTTGACTACAACATGTGGTTGTTAGCGAAGTTACAAGCAAAAATCACAGATGGGAATGCTTGTCACATTCTCTTAAGGATTGGTTGTCACAATCATTGTTTGTAAAATGCACTTATAGTAATGTTTTTTCCTATTTATGCTCTCTCAATGCAGGAGATGTGTTAGCTTGTTGCATTTCAATAAATAAAATTAAACTTCTTTAATCACTTTTTGAGACTACCTCCATTTTTTCCCCATTAAGGTAACATAGGGACAACCAAACCCATAGTGTACGACTGCCAACCCCACAACTGGCATGGTTGTCATAAGTGCACAAGGTGCATTTGACAGTCCATATCTTTTGAACAGAATAATCTTAAAGGAGAGTAAGGTCATGCCATTCCTACCTGACACTCTGGCTTATGTCAAACATTGAAAGGGAATCTATTAAGGACACAGTTTTGGGGGATTGAAATGAAAGTAAAAAGTGTGACGACCAACCCTGTTCTCCCACTAAATCTAACACTGTACCATTCCATTAGGTATCTAATCACAGTTTGCTGAGCTAGTAAGACACACTAGAAACAGAGAGGAGATATCGAAAACTTAGTGAATGGTCAGCAAATGCACTTAATTGCATCTTTCACCATGGAGACAAACAACAACATCTGCAGAGGGGACATTTCTCTGTAATGGGCATCACCAAGAGTCTATTCACTTGTCAACAAAAGAAGCTCAGGGTTGGAAAATAGCATGTTTGGCTGCTGTCCTGTTGTCTTTCCCCAACCTCATTTTCAGCTGAGTGTATACATTTAACAAGTATATGCTCAGCTGTCTATAGCAAAGGAGGGAGGCATGGTGGTGCAGTATGAGAAACTGTCCAACAGACAACAAGCAAGTGGACATTACAAGAAATACAATACTAATCTCAGGCTAAGAGGACATGTAATTGAGCTCTTTGCTCAGCATTTGTAATGTAATGATTAATGTTGTAGTGTTAAATTGGTACAATTTGTTTGAAATACATGTACATAAATGGCTCATCATGAAAACTGTTCAGTTATTGCTGACATATAATCTGGTAAAGGGGGAAAAGGGAATATGAGTTGTTTATGTCTTATTAAACACTATGCTTAATATTATGAACGTAATATCTTTAACATCTTTAACAGATCAACATCTACAGCTGGCAGTGGGCGAAGTCAATCATCTCATGCCTAGATTATTAAAAAAGATGTGATATCTCATTAGAAGAGGTCTTATGAGTATTAAATGTACGTTCATGCCTGCATGAATCCAAATGTTAATGTACAAATCCACTAGATTGCTGTTTTCAATATGAAGTAATTCATGGCCATGCGATAAATGTACTGTTGAAGCAGTGTGAAATTTCTCTGTTTAAGAAAGTATTATGACAGTACAATACAGGGCTGTTCATTCTACCGTTTCAAACAATTTTCTCAACATAACAAAATGTCATTAATTGTGATTGATGGAGACCTGCAAACATCATTTCACTGTTTTGCTGTACCTGCTACTGTGCAGGAACCAAGCCATTAGTCTTTGTCACCTCTGGTTTTATCTCCCATTTATGAAATGCAATAATGAAGTCTCCATTGTCCATATAACAGTCATCCATAGTCACAGTCTTTATTGTACGAAATGCCTATAAAAATTATAAAAATGAACCAAAAAGATGTGGCTTGGAGATGCAGAATGCTAATAGCTAACAAAACAGTGGGACTCCATTCTGCCACTGCTGTGATATTCTGCAACAGTGTGCTTATGCTCTCAGCACATGCTGACAGATACCAACCACACATGAAACCGGGGCCTGCCATGATTAATGACAAGCTTCAAGAACACAAAGTATCACCCTGACAACACTCTTGATTTTATTTTTCCCTTAAAAAATAAAAATTACGCTTTGGTCCACACACACACACACACACACACACACACACACGCACGCACGCACACAACCAACAAATCTCTGTTCAGTATGTTTGCTCCCGTCTCATTACCAATCTTGGCAAGGGAAATGCATTCGCATAGCTCACTGGGAAGCTTCCCAGTTGTCAAGATTGCAGTAGTGTGGAAGTGAGAGAATTTAAAATTCTAATCCTGACATGAAAGGAAAAAAAGCACTGAATGAAATTGTATTTGTTACCTATAAAAGTATACAGGTAGAGCCAAAATACCTATTTGGTAAATATACCAATAACTAGGTCCAAGCACACACTGGTGCAAGGATCCTATTTAAGTACCAAGTTGCTGGAATTATTCTTGAAAAATTAATCACACGTTTGCAGAGCTGGGGATGGTGGAAAACTCATGAAACTTGGCACATACATTAAAAGTGGCAAAACTTTATATCTCATATGGGTCTTGTGTGTGATTGTAGAGAAATGGCTCAAAAGCATCCCTTAAAAATTTTAACAAAGTAGCCCTCGCTGTACAATTCACCTAGATATACAAAATTTGGTAGTCACATGTATCACCTTAAGATTCAATAAAAGATTGCTTGAGGCTGTGAGTTTGTTTTTCCTGTCATAGTGAGGGCATGACCTGCCTTATTTTACTCTGCCTCTGACTGGCCTCCCCTGATATCCAGTCCCTGATAAATCTCTCTCCTCTCACCTAATCATACCCAATCCAACCAATGAAGGCAACAAGTACAAGTCAATCTTAGGGAGAGTGGGGCGGGTGATGCCTTCACCACCCATGAAAAAATGAAATGCCTTGAGGCCATGCCCTGAAACAGAAAGTCAGCCATTTATAAGTGTGACATTTACTGTGCAATTTAGGGACATTCTTTGCCATTTACTGGTGTTGTACTTTAACAAACTCCTAGAGATTTAACCCGATCAATGTCAAATGTGTTCTCTTTGCAATGGTATGTCATTACGCTTTTAAAATTTTGTGGAATATTGTAGCCAGGGTGGCCATTTTGTGCATTTCAACATAAAACTGTTTTTTTTTGTAAATTGACCAAACATTGTCCAGTCTTCCCCAGATTTCTGATACACGTCCAGGCCTGAGGAAATCTACATGCCAATACTGAATCATGGTCAAAGCGCCACCAAATGGCAACAGGAAGTTAGCCTCATGTGACAAACATCATCCAATTAACATGAAATTCAGATTGAATGGTTCACACTAGACATACAGCAACAAACTGTATAATTAGTGCATCTTCTCCAGCGCCACATGGTGGGCGCAGGGAGTGATTTACAATACGTCATTCCCAGCGCCACACACTCCACACAGATAACATCTAAGTCGTGTGCACAGTGGTTGATTGTCTTAGAAATGTACGCCCACGTCAACCAGTATCCTGCCAGTGACCCTGATGTACAGGAAGGCATGAGGGCTCATTCATTGCTGCTTGCAGCTTTTATTGAGGTTTATTTCTGTACTGCATGGTACTCAGTGTTACTGTTACTGCACAATGCTGCTGAATTTCAGCAGCTTTGCACACTGTTTGTATGGTGTAATTGTAGAGTTAGTATGTGTTTCGGATAACACCGACATAAGGTGTTAATTGGAAGCCTGTATGTTTGAGGAAAACCAGAAAAAGCTGAAAATGGTAAGAGCTAGACTTTGTGAACTAACAACTGTTGTAATGTGAGTTACAGGTGCAATTTCTTCCTGGAATATGTTGACTTAGATTGAAGGAGATTTCTAAATGAACCTATGAGTTGATGGATGATGTGACACATTGGATTCAGCACTGATACCAAGAATCAACACATAATGAACATCCTCCTCCCTTTTCATTACGAAAGGGGTGAGAAAATCAATCATCAATCACTGCTGCACTGTGTTTTAATTATCTAATGCCCCTGCTACTTCACACAAAGTGAAGCACAACTGTTGCAAGGGCTGGCTAAACAGTTCCATTCTACAGCCACTTAACTGGTTAAACACGTAATCCCTCCACACTCTCTGACTAATCCTCAATGGCAATCTGATGCACTCGTGACAAGCTCCACTCACCCATCACAGCCAGAGCTGTGCCTTTGGCTAACTCCCTCTTTAGAGTCTCCAGTACTTCCAGCCCATTGCCGTCCAGATTGCACCTGTTGATAGTGCCATTGGCCGAGCTTATCCAGTACAGCTTGTTGGCAGTGTAGTCTATTGAGAGACCTGAGAGGACAAGTGAAGAGAGGACACCTTGTTAGCACTCACTGTGCTAGGATTCACAAGATACTGAGGCCAAAAACTAATTAGAGACATACAAAATAAGTAGTAACTGGATAAGAACATCATAAAATAGTATTAGGCTACAAAAACAGTAGATTAGACATACTGAATGATTATATTACATTTGAGATATTACATTAAACAAACAAGATTGTTACTGAAAACAATTCTGACTCAACTATCCATTGTACTGTATTATGTTCCATCTGATGAAGAGATGACTATATCCAGTTACAAATCCTACCTACACTGAATGAGCAGTATTCAGAAGGCACATAAGAAATATGAGTTTCCTTTTGATTATACTTGAACAGTATTGCAACAGTACATTTCAGAACTGCATTACCATAACATTTACATAGTGTAGTCCCTATGCATTAGGTTGAGTGAGGGCTAATAGAAAGGTTTATGTGTTTGCTGGCACATATTTGTATGGGATCTGTTTATAAGAGCTCCAGCTGGCATGAAAAGTGAACAAGCATGAGACTGACTGCTTTTAAATCCATTTCCTGGCTAACATGATGGCTTTTCATAAAATACCACTGTTAATGGCAGAAAATGAAAGCAATTTCAATTGTGGACCTCTGGACAACTCAATGTCTCCCACCATGTGTTGGATTTATGCCTGGCAGATTCACAGTCACAATGCGTCATTAATTTACGCTTGTCCCCAGGTCTACCCCATAATCATAAATGAAGCCAGTGAAATATGGGTGTGCCCTGCTATCTGTACCACTGACAGGCTGAGGAGAATGAAGAAATACAGTGAAGACAATGGTGCTGTTTGTGTGACGAAGTGGGAGTTTGACCTTGAGCTGTGTGACAACAGCTACTTAAAATGAAGACCAGCTGATTGGTTTTACCAAAGCTCTCTTAAGCACGCATCATGTGTGGAAAGAGTTTACACTCAAAGAGTGAGAGGGTATGATTGGTAACACATTATTTGGATAGCCCACCTACAGATAGTTGATAGTATTTGTAACACTTCAGCTTATTAGTTGAGATAGATGTTTATCTATAGAATATATGACAATTCCAGAGTTCTTACGGTCAAATTAAAAAGTTAGATGATGTACTTCAAATGTTGAAAAAAAAAGTAACAATATGCATGAAACACATAAAATAATCAACATATTATTAAAGTATCCATTTAGTTTTCCTTGAAAAAAGCTTGTTTACGGATGTGGTAGATGTATATCTGTGCTGTTGGTTCTGCTATCCTGATTTGCGTGACATTAAATAAATAATATATAACACTACTTCCCATGTCATAGCATTTTGAAGACTTTTAAGAGACTGGCTTAAGACCCAAGTAAATGATGGTTTACTTTTAGAAAAAGTAAACCATCGTTTTCTTTTTGCACGTCACTACAAACACAAACAACAGCACCTTCACATCCACACACACACACACGCGCGTCTGAGTGACATAAAAGATGATACAACAGTCAGTGAGAAGGACATAATCGTTGGAGCCAGGAGGGCGGGTTTGAACATTGCTGTAGAGCTGTTAAGCTTTTCAAAGGCAACAATCTCAACGATATACAATAGGTGAACCACAACACCAGACCTCATCATGCTCTGTGGCAGGCAGCCCTTGACAGATGGAAGTGAGAGACAGTGGGCTTGAGCAATATGTAGTCCATAGTAAAGCAATTATCATTACAAAGCATGTGTGGGGTACAACCAACAATTTTGGATATTACAATGTGCCATGGTGTATCTTTTCACTCTATACCTGCAGACTGATGTCTTGAGGAGAACATATACTGTAGCAAACCAGGCTCATTCATTCAGAGCTATTATGTTCCCCCAAGGGGATATATACACTTTCTATTGTAATAATTCTTTCTGTTATCATACAAGATTAATCCAAGACTGGTTCAACGATCACTCAGGTGATATTACATAAAGAATGTGGACACCATAATCTTGTATATCAATCCATGAAATGAATCCCTTGGGGAAGAACACATACGGATGTCATAAGAGCATCCTTAGATAAAGAAGCATCCATCCATCAACCCTGAAAGTCGTGTGAGGCAGTGATGTCTATTCAGTTGGCTCTAATACCAGAACACTTTCAGCAGCAAAATTGTCATTTCTGTTGCAAACTGATTAAAAAATGATTACTTAATGATGACTGGTGAAGCATACAAGTGCGGACAGGTAACATGTTTTTCCTGTTTACCCTTTTGTTTGTCTAGGCACTAAAACTTCAAGTTTTGCTTGATTTAGCAAGCTTTGACACCGTGGGACTTGAAGCCAAAAAGTTGCCTGACTTTCTTTGATGTTGCCTGTTGAGATAACATCACCACTGAGAATGTGGGTGTTCCGTCTGATTCTTGCTGACATTGTCAAAACAGAGAAAATCTCAACATGAGTCCATTTGTAACAGTCAGTGCATGTACATGCATTAGAATAAATTCATTATAAACAGATTAATGCAAACTGATATTATCATAACTTTCATTTAAACACCTTTATCAGGTTATCTTTGTCAAATTACGGTTCAAATGGGGGAATTACTTCAAATGAATTTGGAATGGAATGAGCATAGATGCAAAGTGGTGCATGCAGCAGCACAGCTGTTGATGCTGGAAAATTTAATTGAATTAAATTACCATAAATTGAATCCATAACCAATGAGTACTGACAAATTCCCTCAATTTTCTGTCTTGTTTTGTGGTAATAAGATGTTTGCAGTGGGCTACCGCACATTCTTCCAGACAGAAGTCCAATAATCAAACATATCAAGCGCACATGGATTACTGATGAAACTGAGTTTTTGCAAATCTTGTAAATGCTGTAACCAGGTAATTTCTATCACAATAGAATCATTATAGCATACATGTTAACATAGTGGGTTTATGTGTGGGGCGGCAGTAGCTCAGTCCATAGGGACTTGGGTTGGGAACCGGAGGGTCGCCTGTTCAAGTCCCCGTCCGGACCAAATATGGAGAGTGGACTGGTGGCTGGAGAGGTGCCAGTTCACCTCCCACCGAACCCCCCCAACCGCTCGGGGCACCACCAAAGGGCAGCCCCCTCACTCTGAGATCTCTCCACTTTGTGCATGTATAGGTCCTGTTTGTGCATGTGTGTGTCTTTCAGACCTGTGTGTAATTGACAAGCAAGAGTGAAAACACTGAATTTCCCCTCAGGGGATTAATAAAGGAAATAAACTTAAACTTAAACTGAAAAGACAGAGCTTGAAAATAAATATCATTTTTAATGATGTATGAAAAAAATGGCTTGGTCACCTTTGGGGTTCAACTGCATAGGAGGTCTAATTTAATATGCTATCTATAGCTCTCATACTGACCTACAGGATCCCTCTGATTCTGGTGGAGGACCTTGCTGTTACTCCCGTCCATGTTGGCCATGTTAATGGTGTTGCCATCTGTCCAATAGATTTTTCTGTGTGGGATGATGTGAGACGAATAGTTAGTGGCCCAGTTGGGCACGAGATATAATGAGCTTTAAAACATAGTCAATGAACATCACGTTGTTATTAATTGGAAATGCAATGTAAGCCAATACATTTTGTTCCACCTGACGACCTTGTAAAGATCTGCACAAATGATTCAAGCTTGTATAACATGTTCTCTTTACAACAACAGGGCTTTGATCCCTTGCACAGGTGAGGTCTGTAGTCAAGTTTCATAATACTATGCATAGGAGGCGAGCTCCTGATGAAGTGCACACACTGCTCTAATCTACTTACCCCTTGGCGGGGTGCACTACAAGGCACCTTGGCTTATCAATGCCGTGGATGATGGAGGTCTTCAGGGAGCCATCAAAGCGAGCCACATTGATTTGCGACTCGTCATTTTCGGAGCTGAGCCAGTACAAGTTCCTGGAAAGCCAGTCTAAAGCCAGACCACGGCAGTTCACTATGTCTGTCGAGAGAGCATGGCAAAAATAAATAAACAAATACTGCCTGTGTGATTTAAAGGACTATAATGTAAAAAAAAGCTCAGACTACATTTAAAACAAGCAAAATTAAGGTATAAATGATTCTCAACAAATTACTTTGCTACTTCTCATATATTAGTTGTACACTGTGATCATGTCAACGAAGAAATAACAGCAATTAATTAATAATTAGAACAATTATTATAACAAATAACAACTACTCCATGACCAAGAACAGTGCTGCATTTCACTCTTGCAACAAGAGTAAATGTGTACCTCCAACTAATCATTAGTCAGAACACACATTCACATTCACTGTAGTACATATCGCTCGCAGCCTTGTCTTTGTATTTTGTATGGATGTCTGGAATGCACGCACCTGCAGAAATGATGGTCTCTAGCTGGGTGCCATTGATAAAGGCCCGTTTAATGGTTTGGGTTTTGATGTCAGCCCAGTAGATCCTCTCCTCCTGGGCATCATAGTCCACCACTGTAACATCGTCTATATCCGGCACCGTTAGCGCCGTCATGACGTTCATATAAGGGTTGTCAATATCCACACCCCGGATTTCAGACCGCCGCACATACAGGAGGAACCTTTTCAGCGCTGGTGAGATGATTAAGAAATCAATCATTCCAGAGAGTGCACCAGTTGGCTGAACTTTTCTGTCAGATCCAGGTGAGAGTGTGATAATAACAGCCTGACGTAAAAGCTGATGTCAATCAAAGTGAAATTTATACGTTTAGCAAAACAGCTGTGTTGTTTACATAGCATCACTTTGATAACATAAGGAGAAAGTATGAAAAATGAGGGAGGTGTTCACGCTCACCAAAGCAGGATTGTTTGTTGGGTGAAAGCTTCATAAGGTGTGGACAGGTGCAGGACGCAGTGCGGTTGTAATTGATGAGACACAGATGTGAACAGGGACCCCGTCCATCATTCCCTTCACATGGGTTAGAGGCTGATGGGAAGGGAGGAAAGAGGAACATTTCAGAACACTCAGCATGAGAAGTTGAGATGGCAATCAAAGAGACAGGCTAAGAAAAAAATAATAATAAGGACTGGATGTGAATAGGACTCGCTGCCTTTGCAACATGGCATTTACAGGCCTGTCTGATTGTTCCACTGACAGCATACTTTGAAAGTGACAAAAAAGCATTGCTTTAAACAACTATAATTATAATATTGTTCTTGCTGTATAATAAGGGAAATGCGATACTGCTTGAAAGCATGAGTTTTGAAAAGAAATATTAAAAACGCTGGCAAGTAGTTTACAAAAAATATCACAGACTGAGTTACTGTACGTTCAAACCAACAACAGAGGCCAGCAACCAAAGCTACTGGAGCAGTCCGGAGGGGAGTTAAAACTCGTTTAACTTTATAGTAATGACCTCTGACACGGTTCGGCCACAACCAATCAGAATGCTGACGTGCTTTGATGAAGCGGGTCCCAGAGAACAAACCATGGAACTTTGGTTCCTACAGCACACTTGTTCCGACAATGGATATTGAGAAGTATACTACTTGCGTTTGCACCCACTCAGTCCTCTATAATGTGTTGCTGTTCGGTTACAGAGACCAAAATATCGTGGAGGTAATTGGTTGGTCTGGTGAGTTTTCAAGTATGTAATGTCAGTAATAGAGGAGATAACTGTAGGCTAATGTTGCGACGTAGCATGCAAGTCTTCCTTGCTTAGTTTGAATGGGCTGACATACGTTTTCTGTTTTCATTGACCAAACATAACTTTCTGTAGGCAAACTATGAGCTTTTTGACTGGACAACAGCAAGCAGCAACTACGCTGCTTTCAAGCTTTGCGGCTCCTTTAAAGTGACAAGCACAAACATTCAACGATTCACATGGTGATCGACGAGAGCGACCAAAGCTGCCACAAATATTTTTGACAGTCTGCTTCTTGGGCGTCCACGAGAGACTTTGCCAACAGTTTTGTATCATAACAATATAGGTAGTATGTGTAAATTAACTAAGGAAAACTTTGGTCATTTGCCAGAAAAAAAATCCACCAGATTATGCTTTTTTTTGGGCAGTTGCTTGAACTACAGATTGTATGTTATGTCCTCATTTTTATGTATTTTTAGTATTGAAGCGGATCAGTACCGACTCCCAAACTCAGATCAAAATGTAAAACTAAGCAGTTTGGCTAAAATATGAACCAAGATTCTGTTACTGAATTACCTATTTCTTACCTTAAATGCTTTCAGAAACATATTTTAGCTTACCCTTTAATTTTAATATGAAATAGTGTGTTACCAGCCTGCTGCCATATTGTTTCCTGTGTCAAAATGGACAAGTTTACATACATCAGCCACCAGCAGAAGTGTTTATTGGTCTGGTGTGGCACTTTGCATTCTGGTAGTTGTAGGTTTCCAACATCTTAAACAAACACAACGCTTTGCCTCTGTTGTCTCTGGTCATGAAGCACCAGTTTTAATAGAATTTCTGTCTTTCTACTGCACAGACAGCCCAGTTTTATGAACAGACCATCTTTCCAATCCAGCAGTGAAATCCTTCAAGTGCAAAGAGAGAACATTGGGTTTGGAAAAGTTATGCTGAGTTTGACTGATCTCATTTTTTTTCCTTGCCTGTGTGTCCTTGTGTATCAGTCTGTGCCACCTCTCTAAATTCTGAGGTTTTGTGGGTTCCTGAGAACCCACAAAACCCCTCTGAAGCAGTTTGTAGAGTTTTAAGTCGCTTGGTGGATAAATGATCCATGATTGATCTGTGATCAGAGCTGATCAGACTGATTGATGGTTGAGAGGAGCAGCTGTTTGTAAATTAAAGCAAACTTTCAGACCCAGCACAATGAAGAGTTAAGTTTCACTTTCACTGTGCCTGGTGTTCTGCTGCGCCGTCTGAGTGCACTCTGCACTGCGAGAGTGTGGATGAAAGAATAACCAAGGGGTACCAACACTGCTCCTAATTAACAGTCCAACTTCAAAAAATACAAAATCAAAACGCGGAGGTAGATGTCTTAATCGTCACAGGCTGCCACAAATAATTGAAGAAAGCCTGTTTTTTTGGTTTGTCTCTTGTTGAATTTGCTCTTTTGAGTTTAAAGGGTAACTTTGCCCTTTTTTTTAAACAATAACTCAATCTATCTAACTTTGGGGTATAGTGTATTTCCTTCTTGACTCACATTGCAATGTTCACCAGTAAAAATGTCATCATTTATTTAGGAGTGCAGATCATATTATGTACAAGGATATTTTTTTACAGTATATTAGCTGACTGGGATATTCAGGCAGAGTATTTATTTGACCCACCTGAAAAAATGCAGCAGAAAGCAGCTAAGGCTGCACCTGAGCCATACAAGAGGGCACCACCGGTAGGGGACCATCCACAACCTGAGATGCTGAGAGCAAAAAGCAAGTGGTGGTGCCTTTGCTCAAATTACTCTCTGAGGCCAAAAGAAACGGAATTATTCTGCTACACTGAATTTCAGCATGCGCAGTTTTTGTTGGAGGCTGTCACCAACTACAAACCAGAGAGAACAAGGGTGTGCGTTACTATGCATTAAAGTTTTATTCTGCACTTGGACAGAGGTGTGCTGGAGACTATGGTTGGACTACTGGACAAATATTTTGAAGATGGGCTGAGTGCATGGCCATTTGGACATTTTATTTTGCTTCTGCCGCCAAAGATTGACTGACAGCCTCTGCTCTGCCGTCAGCTGAGAGACAGTGGGGAAATACATTGTCTAGATTCAGCATTCACATCTTACTCGGTAGGATTAATTATGACCAAACCAGAGTTGGTGATTTTTGGAAGGTGGACTAACCAACCCTGACAGTTTTAGTGAGTTTTTTTGTTTCTGTCGAGTTTGAATAAAGAGCTTAAATAAGTTAGCAATCACCGATTGTTGGGCCAACTGTGGCCAGTTGGAAAAACATCCACGGCCAGCAGGGCTGAGAGGGCAGATGATCACTGAGTGAGTATTTCTGTCACTTAATGCTATGTTTTGGCCAACAAAGTGAAAGCTTTTGGCTGTGGTCGTGAAACACAACTTCCTGGCACTGTACAATAAAGCATGTTTGTTGCTGATAACATTCTTGTCATATTAAATTTATGTCATTTTTTTCTGGTGTTCTAGTCAAATAGTGAAGTTACTTATTTTGGACGCCTTTAGTTTTTGTAAACAGAGCAGTCTTTGTGATGCCCACCTCCTCATGCTGGGCAGGCTTGGGGAGTATTTGGGGGGTTGACTGTCAGGAGCTCAGGCACAATGCATCGTTGTATATGTAGACACTGCAGTAACTGCTGTGCAAGAAGGAAAACTCAGAAAAAGTCAGCCTCTCTGTCAATGTGGCACGCCAGTGGTGGCCCTAGAACTTTGGTGCCCTAGGCAATCTTTACAACATTTTACAAGATTACATTGAACACATCATGAAAAGGTTCTAATTTACCTTCACCCGATACTCATTTTTACTGAATAGAGCTTGAACGCTTCAAGATGTAAATCAATACAACCTCAGTGAGCTGAGGTAACATAAACTAGCTTTCCTCTGATTCCGTCGATTTCACGTTCTTTCTCTAGTGGTCGTTGAGTGGGCACCAGAGAGCTTTTGTCATTTTGACAAGATAACGATAAAACGTGTTTCAGGGTTCACATGATGTCGGATAATTTGTCCATCTCCACCAGAGAGCAGGTAAAGTGTAAAAAGCTAGGGAGGGGGGCCAGGTGGTAGCAGGAACCCAGAAAAAGGCCTTTCTATTATTTAGTAGGCTTTGCTATGTAGTTATGTTGTTGTGGCCTTATGTAAAATTTCAAAATAATAGTATAAATAAAAAATTGCAAAAGATAAACATTTTGATTTCGTACCTTGCCTCTTTTCGGGCGCCCCCTACAAATGACAGCAACCTTAGCATTCACCTATACTGCTTAAGCCACAGGCCGGCACTGTGGCATGCACTGAGGGATGTATTGCTTCAACTGACTACATTTACGATCACAGATATCATTGTTTACTCTTTGTCACTCCACAGAAATTAAGGGTAACATTATCTCAGTTACCGTTTTACTGTAGCAGGACATCCAGCTCAAGACCCCATGCTGCCAACAGTTTCGACGAGACAAGCTGAATTCCAAGCTGAATTTCAACAGCTTTAAACTGACCAGCTATCTTATAGGAGCAATACATTTGAAGGAAACTGTTTTCATGTTTTTATTTTGTACTCTACCCTGTTAAATAATAAATCACCTCAGCAAAACTAAAGAAAGTCACCCACAGTTCAATTATTTCCCGTCATGCTGCAATCGCATTTCATGCATCAAACACATCGGTTCCTCCATCTACTCTGGATGATTCATGTCAAACAAGCTCATTCAAAGTTCATTTCCTGGCTCCTACAGCAGCACACTGGAGAGCCCAAATGCATCGCAAATGTGGCTTATTTAAAACAAACACACAAAAAATTCCAACTCTGTCTCTGTGAGTTGGAAACAGCACCCAGCTGACTTGGTATGCTAATAGGGAGCCATCTGAACAGCGCTGCATTCACCTGAATCATGCTGTTGAGGGATGACAGGCAGCAACAACAGAGCCAAGGTGTTTGTTTGCTTTAAACTGTCAGATGTATTTGCAACAAATAAATAAAGAAATGAGCCCACCACTATGCTAAGGCAGTGAAAATAGTGGCATTCCCTTAAAATAAAGAAAAATGAAGAAAAGCCATATTCAGGGAAGGCCCAATGTGGTGATGATACAATTTAGTATGCAAGTGCCTCTTTCCACTGAGAGACCTATATTTGTTGTGCTTATTTGTTTCAAAGCCGATCGTATTTGTCATGATAATACTGCTGACACAATTACAGTGCGGTTTGTCTGCCTGCAAATAACTGTGTTTGCTCTAAATGGCATAAATATTGCATTGCTTATGTAAAGCTTTGCACACATTGGATCCCAATTATGATGTATGTAAAAAGATCAGACTGAATTATCCA